AGGCATGGACTATCTTAACTCTTTTTTTTTTCCTCTCTCTTTTTCTTTCTCTTCGGTCCATATGTCTCTCAAGAAGAACCTCCCCATTAAACTTGACTTATTGCCCTCTCTCTCTCTCTCTCTCACTCTTGATTATCTCTCTCTGTGTGCCAAGAGACATGTCCCCGTGTACGTTTATATATGAATATGACGTGTTGGACCTACCTCTTTTCGCATTTCCTTTTTTTTTTCTTCTTTCTTTCTCCCTTGTTAGAAGCGACCCCCCCTCATATGTCTCTCTCCGTGCATGCCTTAACCCTTTCGTGCCCTGGACCCTCCCGTTTTATGCTTGTCATTTAAGCGGGTTTACATGCGCCTATTATGAGATTTATCTTCGTCGGCCATTACAATTTTTCTTCTTCTCTGTACTGTCTTTATTTCATTAGTATTTTAAATTGTGTCGTACTGTTTAGCACTCTTGATTCGTCAGTCAATGTGGGTTTATTAGCTTGCTGTGCCTTTCTTTTTTATGTAGGCCTACCGTCATAACTTATGGTTATATTATTTTCTTAATATCTTCATTTTCTTGTATTATTTTATTTATTTTTTACACGTTCGTTTAAACAGAGTTAATTGTACTCAATTGTTCCTTTATCGCATGTATCATTCATTCATTCGTTCCTTGTTTCAAAACTTCGTTGGGCCCATCTGATAAGGTACTATTGAGTTTATTTTATTTTTATATTATCTATTATTATTTAATTTTAAATTCATTATAACAGACGAAGGTGCAAGAGATGAAGCGGGTGGTGGAGGCGGAGAGGGCGGAGAAGGCCCGGCAGGAGTCGCTGGAGAGGGCGAGCCTCCTCCGCAAGCTCGAGGGCCAGGACCGGCTCGTCGCCAAGCTTAAAGACGGTTGGTAACTGATATTATTTATTTATTGGTAACTCATTTATTTATTGTATTTTGAAAGTATTTATTTCATTTTTTTAAGGGCTTGAATTAAAGCCGGAATTAGTCCAATTCGAAGGATTCCAAGACTCGAATTCAGAGATTGGACGACCACTCGATTCTATTTATTTTAAATATATATTTTTTAGAGCGAAAAGTATTTAAATAAGGAAGATGTGAAAATTTCCCACTTTCCCTTTCAGCAATGAACGAAGCGCAGTCGGAGTTGTACGAGATGAAGTCGAAGGACGAGGAGCGATCACGAGCCCAGTGAGTTCACCTTCCCCATAAGTCTTTCTCTTTATTATATATATATAATATAAATAATCTCCCCTTCAAAACTTGAAATACGGCGTTTACCGAAGAATGAATTTTTCAAGAGGATCGTCAATGAGGGACGTGTTCCCACGAAAATCCCCTCCCTCTTTTTTTTTTCTTTTTTTTTGTTTGCCCGGCACTCGATTCACAATGGGAAGGGTTGGAGAGATTTTTATCGGCCGGGGTCTCAATCAGTGTTCGATTCAATTCCCTCTTCAATTCCCTCCCCTCCTCCCATTTTTTTATTATTTATTTTTTTTTTTTTC